CCCCCCCGAAATGAAAGTACAGTATTTACTTTTGTTTCCTGTCACAGCACCTTGGGCCTCAGAAAACAGCTTGGAGGGCTGCATGGTGGCCCATGGGCCATATGTTGGACAAGCCTGGTCTAGTACCAGATCCAGGAGAGCCTTACCTCTAGTTGGCCCATAGGCTTCTTGACATGAGTAGAGTTCGTCAGCGCAGGTGCAAAAGCTACGTGACTGATCAGATTTGGCAGAGTGCTCCTACCATGAGATGTCAGTTGAAGTCATCCATGACAACCATGTACTGAGCGCATCTAGCCTCTGCCAGTTCCCATGTGAATGTGTGGTCAAGATCTTCCTCTTGGTTAGGAGGTCTGTAGTAGACTCCTACCAATATATCCCCTTCACCAAGTTTCTCCCCATAATCTGACCCGCAGGGTCTTGAGTCATCCTTCTGGGGTACCAAACTTCACTTGTAGGGAAGGGTACTGCTCCTTCACATAGAGAGCTACACCCCAACCCTTTCTAGCAACACAATCCCTCCTGTATAAGGTATAGCTGTCAATACCTGCGGTCCAGTCATAGGTGGAGTCCCACCAGGTCTCTGTTATTCCTATGAGAACATATTGATTTTATTTAACAGGAGGGCCAGTTCCTCCTGTTTGTTCCTCAGGTTCCTGGCATTTGTGTACAGATAAGTAAGCCTGCCATTGGAGTTCCTAGGTTTCTCAGCACTCCTAGAAGAGTCCTGTCCCTGGACTGGGGTAGGAGTGAATTCTTTTGGGAATTCACGTGTGTCCTCTGTGCTGCATGACTTACTAATTCTGCAGCTGTTGCTTGGCTTGCATTGGTGGTTGTCTGCCCATCCCATGGCGAGCTTAGTTTAAAGTCCTGTCAAGTAGGTCAGCCACTCTGGCTGAGAACAGCTTCTTCCTCAGTGGAGTGAGGTGCAGGCCATCCCTTTCCAGCAGACCACTGCCTCCATCTCTGAAGTGCGGGCTATGGTCAAAGAAACTGAAGCCCTTGCGATGGCACCAGTGCTGCAGTCTTCTATTGATTTCCTCGTAATGGAATAATATTAGCTGATGGGAGAAGGGGCGAATGAAAAGCAAATTCCTAGGTAGGATTTGCGGTAAAACCAAAAAATGTGCTGTAAATTAGTACATCAAAATGAATTGTGACTAATTTTGGGCATCACCAAGTTCATAAACTCCTTATGGGCATCACCAAATTCATAATAGATTCCTTCAAATCGCAAGCTTACCTGTCTGTTTTTCTCTTCTTTCCTGACTTTTTAAAAATAATATTTTTCTAAGATTTTCCACGTGTGTTTTTTCAAGTTTGTTATTATCTGTCTGCAAAAGGCTCCAGCTTGTCTCAGGATTTTCTCAGTTTTATGTACTACCCTTTAACATGTTTCAGAAGTTCCATTAGTGACTGAGTTGAACATTTTTGTGCTTCCCAGAAGATAACTGAATCACTACAGTTTTCCATGACAACCAATTTTTAGGTCTTTAGTTTAATATTAAGGTGATTAAATAAAATTGGTTTCTTCATTCAGGTTTTGAGATCTGTAACAAATGCAGACTACAACTTCTGCTTTACTATTCAGGTGTTTAATCTTGACTCAAACTCTTCTTTCTGTCTTTCATATCAGTATTGGTTTGCTTTTTAATACAGTGACTAATGCATTTCTACTAGTGCCACATTTCTGCCTCTGGTACATCTGAAATTGTTATTCTTAGTGTTAACCATCCATTCATTTGACTTTGCCTGCTATGTTTTCATTGTCAGCCATAATCTCCTCTTTGAATTATCAATCACCTCTAACTCCGTAGATTTCCCATCACCCTAGCATTAATAAACAAGCAATTGAGAGGCTTCTTTCTGGTTTTTACCCTCTATTTTTCTGCTGTTTTTTTCTGATACAGTTTGGGTTTTTATAATAAACTTGAAAGTATTATCTTTTTCTTGAGGTTAACTCCATATCCACCTTACTATTAAGGACAGAAGATTGATTCTCAGGGTTCCAAAGGAGATAACCAATACAGCCTGTATCTTCTCTGAGGACCAGTACTTGAGTGAAAACCTCTAAGATTCTTAGATTTCTTTTTTGGGGGTCAAGGGCTGACCATTGCATCTCAAATGAAAAATTCTCTGTGGCCAAGTAATCATATGTTGCTAAATTTCTTATTTTATTAGTCCCAGAAATAGTACATTGTTTTTTGATTGTGTTCTTTTTAGGACGTTGAGTTTTGTTGGCTTAGAATGCACCTTTTCTTAAAGATTGTCTCTCTCCAAATACTTTTATTTGGCAATTCAGGTCACCTTTAACGAGGCAGTCCTTAGATTTTTATAGCTGGAAACAGGGCATTCTCTGTAAAAAGCTTGCAACTTTGGAATATGCTTATTTTGATTAAACGGGCCACAATGACCTTGAGAGTACATAACACAGCCTTTTTTGAGGCATCTAGAAAGAAATGAAAAGTAATGAGCTGATATAAATCAGAAAAAAAAAATTTCACAAAAATAATTTATGGAGCAGATTAATATAAGAATTACATAGGCGTAGTGTGAGTTGCTGGATAGTTTGCAATGCAACAAACTGAAGACAACTTTTCAGAAAAATAGAAGTTGACTGGAAAGAGGCTGAAGTAAGTTTATGATCCTGAGAGATTGGAAAAAGTCTGGTTGGTGAAAAAGAGCAAGTCAGTGGAGAGCTGCCAGGAAAGGGAAGTTCCATATTGGAGAGAGTGAACTTGCCATATCATGGCAGGGATAGGAAGTTAGAATGTGAGTGTGGCCTTGAATGGCAGAGATTAGGGTAGATCTGCATATGCCAGTAAATATATAAAGGTGGTAATAGAATCTTTAGGGTTAATGTGAGAGCTCAGATTGGAGAGAGCAAAGGACCCAACCTGGAATTGTAATGGATGCCAGTAGAAGAGTGAATAGATTTAAAGCTATCTGCTGATGCTGTAGCTTAGCAGTCAGTCTGAGAAGAGAAAGGAGGGAGTTAAGAATGGAAAGGAAATGAGTGAGAGAGAGGTGATGCAATGCGTTTTCCAGCTAATTACACTTTGTTTTTATTGGAACATTAAACTGCTGTCCAGTAACCTTCATTTGTTTAGCATATGTACTTTTGCCAATAGAATTGTTTTATGCTCAGGAATTAGTGGCTTTGGTTTGTGGAAAAATGTTCTTGGACTTATTATTATATAACAAACACTTGTGTTGCAGATACTATTTTATATTTGCTAGAGAAAAATGCAACGGAGTATAGAAATCTTTGTTTTCATTACAAAAAAGTGAGAAAATTAAATTAGGACTAATAATAGTTGTTTTTGTTTTGCTTTAAGGTTTCTGAAAGGAAGATGTAGTAATGGCTCATTATATACTTGTATGTGCTTAAATTGTATAAATTCATTTCTTCTTGCCATGTTGTGTTTTTCCATGAATGTCTCAAGCTTACTTTGGGGCACTATAAAATAATAAATAATTGTGATTACTGTTTATGGTGTTTTGTTATCTAATAAAATGTCTTTTGTCTTTTTGGTGTTTAGATTTTTGATTTAATGGATGCCAAAGCCCGTGCTGACTGCATCAAAGAAATAGATCTTCTTAAGGTAAAGACTTACTGATATATTTTTTTCATATTGACAACAAATTGGAATGAAATGTATTCTGTCATGTACAGGGTATGCTTAAAGATTTATATTGGTATATTTAATTATAAGGTAAACCCTTTTTAAAAGCAGGTCATGTTGGAGACAGCGTGCCAGTTTTTTACTTGAAACAAATGAAGAAAATCTAATAAGACACTGGATAAACATGTAATGTGTATAACATACGAAAGTTTGAATTCAAATTATGGTGACAATATTGGCACACTGTCTTATAAAGAAGCTGTACTGGCAGTAAACTTGTAACTGCCATTTCGCTGATTACTGGAGGTGAAGCATATAGAGAAACTGACTTTTCTAATTCCTGGGCAAGAGAATGGGATGTGTTGTTTGAATGTTTTCAGCCAGCTAGCTTACAACTGTTCTTTTACATGCAGAGATAAAGTGATAGATAGTAGCCACCAGAAGAAAGTATGATGGAAAGAAACTGACAGAAGGACTGGAAGAAAACCCATAAGCTGCATGCTACAATTTAGATGTCCCTTCCTTGCAATAAAGTTTTTTATTCTTGCCTTCTGTTCAGTAGCAGACTTGGAGATTAAAATAGCAATGTCTGGTCATCAGAAGAAAGTCAAGAACATGCTTGGTAAATTAACTCCAATTGGACACTTTATGGAGTTTCTAATTTGCTGATGTTAAACAGCCACTTCCTCCTCTTATACTTGGAGCTAATTATAATGCCTAGTGTTTGTATACTTTGTAGTGAAAGTGTGTGTTTTGTATTTCTCATCAGGACATAAGAATTACCATTTCCTGGATCAAACTATAGGTTCATCTTGGCCAGTATCCTGTGTCACACAGTGGCAGAGAGTGGATGGTGAAAGGGAGAGTGAACTGGGTTATATCCACTGTTCCTTTCATTTGCAGTCTCCAGTATTTAAGGTCTAGCAATTGAAGTTCTGATTCAGAAGCTGCATCGCTGACCCCTGTGCACAATAGCTACTGATACCCCTTTTCCCCAAGAATTTTTTCATTCCTTTTTTTGAATCTGGCTAAACTGTCAGCTTCTGCAGTATCTGGTGTTAATGAGCAGGGATCCGGGTTTCCCATTTCTTATGGAAAAACATGGATTTTCTCCCTTAAAGGAGAAAAACGTGAAAAACTGTGGGTTTTCTCTTGCAGACTGGCAGTTTCAGCCTGCAAGGGACTGCTTTAGGCTGTGGGAAGCAGGAGGAGGGTGATCACAGGCAGGGGGTGTCAGGTGCATGTGCACACATGAGTGTAACAGTCAGGCAGTGTATTGGAGAGCACCTCCTGCAGCTCCCTGCAGGTGAGCCTATGGTGGAGGCATAGGTAGGGTGGGGGAGCAGGGAGCATAAGGGGTATAGGTGTTGCGGGGGTGAGGGGACATAGGTGATGTGTCCGGGGGGGTGGTCATGAGTGGGCACAGGCCCTGTCTGATTTGTGTGCATACAGTGGACACAGGCTGCAGCCTGGTTGGACCAGCCTGAGCAGGACCCGCCTCTGTGGCCCAGCAGGTGGGACCTGGCATGGGAGGGTGGATTGGGGCACTGTGACTCATTGGTGCCACGAGGGCCCTATCACTGCCAGCAGAATGAGGAGTAACAGACCGAGGAGGACATGCCCTCACCTCCTGCTGCCAGCTGCTTGCATTCTGGGCCACAGCTCTACCCCGTTACCATGGCCTAGCCCCTGTTGCTGCTCCCCTCAGGCCACAGCTCTACTCCGGAGGGGAGGTGGGGAGGGAGGCAGTGTGGGTGATTTGAGTGAAGCAGCAATGGCATCCAGGCCATGGCAGCAGGGTAGAGCCATGGTGCAGTGCTCAAGCAGCTGGTGGTGGGAGGAGGTGAAGGTAGCATGACTTTCCCCAGTCTGTTACTTCTCATGCTGCTGGCAGCATTGCTGGTGTTGGGGTCCTGGCAACAATGGCAGTGGCAGCAGTGAATCTTGCAGCCCCCCTTTGCTGTCCTGCGCTGGGTCCTTCCTGCCACACCATGGAGACGGCTCCTACCTGTGTTGGAGCCAGGCTACAGGCCCATGCCTGCTGTAGGCACACACACATTTGGGGGGGGCACCTGCGCCACCATGCCTCCCTGACACATCACCTATGGTCAGGCATACCTGCTGTGCCTGAGACTTCCCCACACACCCACTCCCTTCCCTACACATTGGGGAGGAAAGGACCTGGAGTTAGGGGTCTGCAAGTTGGGAGTGAGGGACACTGTCAGGAATGGGGAGCTGCAGGTCAGGAGTGAGGGGCACCAGCAGGGACGGGGAGCTGTAGGTCAAGAGTGAGGGTCACTGGTTGAGAGGCTGTGGGGCAAGAGTGAGGGACACTCAGGATGGGGGGGGCTGTGAGTAGGGGAGTGAGGGGTACTGGCAGGAATGGGGAGTTGCGGGTCAGGAGTGAGGAACACCAGCAGAGCTGTGGCTTGGAAGTGAGAGGCAATGGCGTATCAAGGCTGCTGAGCACCACAGAGTGACGGGCGGGGTGGGGGGAGGTGGGTAGCTGCAGCTGGACCCATGGTGAGCAAAAGGGGCAGAAGGAGCTCTGATTTTTCCATGATAAAAACCATAAAAAACCCAAAATCAAATACCAGAATTTATAGGTATGGAGAACTTTTATATATATTATTATATTTTATATTCTATTATAGTGTAGAACTTATTTTATTCTATTATTATCTCTGTTTCACTGTAGTGAACACACACACACACACACACACACACACACACAGAGTGGTATTTCATTTTAATTGTGGAAAAACATGGATTTTGGAGGTTTTAATCAGAATCTGCTGGGGGGGCGTTTAATTGGAGAATTTGGGATTTTTTAAACAGAAAACACAAGGATCCCTGGTAATGAGTCTCGCACTTCAATTACAACTTGTATGAAAAAGAGCTTAATTTGTCAGTTTTAAACTTGCTACCTACCAGTCACATTTTGTGACCCTAGTTTTGTACCATGAGAGTAAATAATAAATCCCTCTTTACTTTCCCTTCACCATTTAGTATTTTCTAAACCCTTACCATTAGGGTCCTACCTAACTTGTGGAGGTTGTTGGCTGTTTTTGCAGGGAGATTGCAGGACTGGCTGCCATTTTTGTGGGCTGATTGTAACAGGGCCCCTCACACCTCTGAATGGCTAAGGGGCCCTGGTGGCTCTGCCCCTCACCACTAATTGGCTGCAAGGGCTGTTGATCATATGGCCTGCCCCTTGTCGCTGATTGGTGGAAAGGGGTAGGGCTACACTGCAGGCAGCCCTCTCAGCTAATCAGCGGTGAAAGGTGGGGGCAGCAGCCATCTTGGGCCCTCCTTCATGTGGGCTGCCCCCCTTTCCTTTGGGAGCCAGCATTTTATTTTCAGTAAGTTATATAGTTTTGTCGTGAATTTGGTGGGCAATGCCAGATTTCTTGATTTCTACCGAATCGCGATTTCTACAGCTCCCTACTTCTGTCTTCCATCAAGCATCTCTTTTCTAAACTGAACTCATATGGAACCACCTTCATACTACTAATAATCCTTGTTGCCCTTCTTTGTACCTTCTCTAGTCGGACACATCATGGCTTTACAAAGGAGCAGAATGATACTTTCCATTTTGTTTACAGTTCCTTTCATAATAATCTGTAACATTTTGTTCACCTTCCTGATGTCTGCTGCGTACTGAGCTGATATTTTTAGTGAACCGTCCACAATGACTCCCAGATCTCTTTTCTGTAACAGCTAAATGTAGAGCCCATCAGAGTTTAGGTATATTTTGGGTTATTTTTACCCATGTGTATCACTTTATACTTATCGATTGAATTCAATCTGCCATTTAGCTGCCCATTTGCTTAATTGTGCCAGATCCTTCTAAAGTTCCTCAATCTTTCTTGGTCTTTACTACTTTGAATAATTGTGTGTCATCAGTAAACTTGGCCACCTTACTACTCGCCTGTTTTTTCACATCATTTATGGTTGTTCAAGAGTACTGGGGTACCCCACCGTTTACTTCTTTCCATCCTGAAAACTGACCATTTATATTCATTCTTTGCTTTCTATCGTGGAGCCAATTTCTAATCCATGAATGAATGTTTCCTGTAATCCCATGATTACCTACCTTAATTAAGAATCTGAGATAGGGGATCTTGTCAAAGGCTTTTGGAAGTACAGATATACTGTGTGAACTGGATTGCCCTGATCTAACTGTATATTGACACACTCAAAGAGCTCTAATAGGTAGAGGTGCACCAGTACATCAGTCCTATATCAGATCAGCACTGATAGAGGGAAAATTGACAGAATCAGAAATCGGCTTTTTTTGCTTGATGTGGCCAGTAATGTGGCTGATAAATGCCCCGTGCATGTGCCCAGCCGCAGCATGCATTTGGCCGGGAGCACTGCCCAGCAGCTTGGAGAGCATCATCTGGCTGGTAAGTCTGTTGTGGGGAAGGGGTAGAGGGAGGGAAGGGGCATGGGGGTTGCAGATCAAGGCCCCCGCAGTGAGGAAGGGAGGGGCAGGGGCAGGTGCTGCTTAGTCAGGGTGGGGCGGGGCATGGGTGGAGCCATGAGTGGATCATCTGGGGGATGTGGGTGGGGGTAGCTTCCGCCACTGCATGTACCCCGGGAGGGCATGGGGGGTTGTGTGCCCCCAGATCTGTGCACGGGACAGGGTGGGCTATGACTGCAGGCTGTGCCAGGCTCTTCCAGGAGTGTTGAGCTGGGCTATGCTCAGGGCAGATGGCAGCGGCACTGTGAAGGGGGTGACAGAGTGGGGTTAAGGAAGATTTTGGGGTGGTTGCAGCCCCCTCCCCTATAGT